AGGAACCTGGAGACCTGGTGCCAGGAGAATAACCTCCTCCTAAACATCAGCAAGACTAAGGAGCTGATCGTGGACTTCACTACAAAGCAGGCGAGGAATTACAAACCCCTCATCATCAGTGGCACGCCAGTGGAGAGAGTGGACAGTTTCCGATACCTGGGTGTCCACATCACTCAGGACCTGTCATGGTCCTGTCACATCAACACCCTGGTTAAGAAAGCCCGTCAGCGTCTCTTCTTCCTCAGAAGACTTAGAGACTTCCATCTGCCACTGAAGGTGCTCAAGAACTTCTACTCCTGCACCATCGAGAGCGTCCTGACGGCAAACATCTGCACCTGGTTTGGGAACAGCACCAAGCAGGACAGACGAGATCTGCAAAGAGTGGTGCGCTCAGCCGAACGCATCATTCAATCAGAGCTCCCTGACCTGCTGTCCATCTACACCAAGCGGTGCAAGTCCAAAGCTAGGAAGATTATGATGGACCTCTCCCATCCCAACAATGGACTCTTCTCACTGTTGAGGTCTGGGAAGCGCTTCCGCTCCCTTAAGGCCAAAACAGAGAGAATGAGGAGGAGCTTCTTCCCCCAGGCTATTCGGGCCCTGAACCAGGTGTAGGACTGGACTCTCCCACACACGTCACTATAAGACTGGACTCTCACACACGTCACCACACGCACCACCACACATTTCCTATAATCCTATAATTCCTATAATTTATAATCCTTATCTTTATAATCTCTTCTGCTATTTGCACATTCTTTACTGTAAATTCCTAAGTTAATTTGTAAATTTTTGTAGTAAACTGTAAATTGTAAATATTGTAAAACTTTTCTTCTGTCATTTAATGGTCGGGCATTGTACAGCTACAAGCATTTCACCCCCATGTCATACTGTGGTTGTGTGTGTGTGACAAATAAAATTTGAATTTGAATTTGACTGTACAGGAGCACATTGGCATGGGTTGAAAATCTTTCTTCGTAGGCTCTCTGTAGGCAAACTACTAAAATGGGCACAGCTGTGGTGCCATAAAAGAATCATTAAGTGTGTCTTAAGTTGAATTAATCATATAGGTCTTTTAGGACATTTTTTACACATTTTTTACACATTTTACACAAAGGTTTCCTTTGGACTATGTTGATGTACCCTGTAGAAAAGACAATTCTACTACTAGGTTTACAGCTCAGACTCTGATTTCTTTCTTTGAGCAGTTTTGTTTTTTCTCAGTTGCACGAGGCACATTCGGTTCTACTGTATTCTATTCTTACCTTAAAATTTGGAACCAATTTTAAGTCTATCACAGTATTTTAGTTGTCTCAACTGCTTTTTAAATGGTATCAACCTGACACAGATAGTGAGTCTGGCTTCTCTTTTATCTTCTGTGTATAGCATGTCAGTGCTGGATATATAAATAAATATAAAACAATCACCTGATAAAAGCATGAATATCAATTTGGCTACACGTGTAACTGTACTGCATCATTTTTCTGCCTCGAATGTTACTGTCAGTGATAGTGCACATATCATCTATCAGCTAGCTGCCACACAACCAGAACATTGTTGAATCCTGACTCTTCTACCAAACCTTTAATGTGTGGCGTTTGCATGTTCTGTCTGTGTTAAGGTTGGTTCCCTCTGACATCTTAGACAACCTCCCACAGTCCAAAGACATTCGAGTGTGACAAACCAGAAACCCGGTGAACTACATGCAGAAATTTTCATTGCATCTTTGAAAAGACACGTAAAATACAGAGTCATACCTAAGTCATTTGAATTTCCTCTGGTATTTGGTGGTTGGAAAAGAAATCAGTGTTTATATTCATCCATGTACAGTAGATGTGGTTTGCACATGTTTATAACCCCTTAAAAACCAAAGTCAACCTTAGACAGCTTTAAAATGTCTGCCTGGTTTCTTTGAAATCTTAAAGCATTTGGCTACACACTGGACTAACTAATTATTAATCACACAATTTATATCGTCAGACAGACAAATGAGGTGATGGACATCCTTGCCTTGTCAGCTGTTCCACATTTTACAGTTTAGACACAGCTAAGCTCACCCTGGCTCTCTTTCTGTCTCTGCGTCTCAAAGGTTAGCAGAGGGCTGCTGTGTTTGTCAGGCCAATCGATGGCCTGTCGCGCCCGGAAATGTGCTCAGTTATGTAGCGGAGTCAGCCTAGTGACCTCTTTGCGACATGGTGAAAGATCATCACCAAGAAAGGGACCGCATGCGTGTGTGTGTGTGCGTTAAACATGGGTGGATATCTGTCAGAAGCAGGTGGGTATCACTTACTAACTCTGCATATAATCAATACATTTCAAAGCTATTATTCTGAAAAGTGCATGTGCGTGGTGCACTTATTAACAGCAAGGGAATCAAAGAGCTGGTGTGTGACAAAGAGGACTGGTGTCTAATTCAAGGTCAATAAGGCCTGTGTCACTCCTGCACTTTCACAGACGGGAGGGAGGAGGCATTATGTTCTTGTTGGTTACCAGAGCAAACACGACATCCCTGCTGGAGCTCATATCAATTTGTAATTCGACCCTCGGTCACATCAGAAAATGTCAGCACAGGTTGCTTGTGCAAAACAACGCCGCATTTGTCCAGTGCTCCTATCGGTTATCCAATGCTGTGCCATTTAAATGTTTTGCCTTTGTCTGTTGTACACATTCACAGAAGTAAATATTCTTCTCTACGTTAAGTTTTAAGCTGCTCTATTATGTATTTCAGCCCATTAGTAATTCCATCAGCTGTTCTCTTTTAATTTAATTTCAGCATATGATCAGACAAAGCTACAGTGTGTCTTTTATTTTTCTCTTTAAGTGACCATCTTACTTAATTTGCTAACACCAGCAGTACCTTCTCCTCATGCCTGTACATATTTAACTCTATTAATCTAATCGTCTACTAATTGGTCAAGATAGCCTTTTCCCTAATGATTTTTATCATGGGGTAATTAATGAGCGTGGTAAAGCTGAAATCACAGTGTCTTGTTAAAATGGCTTGATTGACACATTGTTTCTGGGGTGCCATTTTTCACTTTGTAGCATGCTTCATTCGAGCTACTTTGGGTAAATAACTGTTTAAAATTGATACTATTTTTAACAAGACTTTATGCGTCCTTCGCCTTTGAAAATATGCAATGACAAAATGCCAGTGAATGATAAATCTTTAATATAAAAATTGTACAAGAATTCTGATACAAATTACAAGAGGTATTTGGACAAAATATGAATAAAATTCCATTTACATCCCAAAACCCTTATGCATTTTATGCAAAAACCATAGACAGTTATGATACAGAAACAAATACAAGAAAGGCTTAAAAGAAAGAAAAAGAAGTCTCTTAAAAAGGATCTTTTTTTTTTCCTTCTGTCTGTCTGCTAATGGGGAACACCTCTTTGGGTAACATACAGTATTCGTGAGGCTTCCAAATCACCACTTTAACACCAAAGTGACACAAGCTCCTTTGCTCTGTTTGTTCTTTGCAGTGCAACCATGTAGCCATGCAATGCTGTTGAGTGCCCGTGCTGCAACACGGGCTTCTTAAGACACAGACACAAATGCATTAGATACACACACGCACACAAAAAAACCCCAAAAAAAACAAGTGAAAGTTAAAATCTAAGTTCACTAGCTCTTCAAGCTATTTATACTTTAAGACTGTAAAATATATTTGAAAATACAATGGACAACATTTTATGGATTTACAGCATTTTTTTTTTGTTCAGGATAACTGACATTTCACAGGTTCCAGTTCAAATTAACGAGGGCATCCTTTGTAGAACATAAGACATGAGACTGAAGCATCTATACAAACCCACGTGTGTAATTTTTATCTAACTGCATATTTCTAATGACATCCTGTTAAATATTTTAACCTCACTTTGTTCCATAAGCTACATTAACTGAACAGGTTGCACACATTGTCACCGCTCGTTCTCTCAGCTCGCATCTTCTACTCTATCACTCTGTGACGTGAACACAATGGACAGCGATTAACGGGTCAGGCATTTCCGCCCTTTGCCATCCTTTTCATCCTCAGTGTGCTCGGTAGAATTGCAGAATAATTGATGACTGATGCTGCTCTTATCAAATATTTAAGATTCGCTCCAGCGGTCTGGGCCGATGAGCAATCTAAGTGATGTGTTCCTGCTGTCCCAAAGCATGGCCACTAGGTAGCACAGTGCACCCAGACCCATGTGGTTAAAGAACTAAGAAATTCAAAGACTGGATTTCTCTGAAGACAGAAAGGAGAGGAGAGCAGAGTGTACAGGAGAGGGGTGGATCGACTGCTCTCCAACAGGCAATGAAGAAGAACCTAGCAACTTGTCCTGGGGAGCTTTTTTCTTTTGTCTTCAACTTTTTACCCTGCTTTGTTAAGTGACTGCTGCAAGGTCCAGCCTCACCACTTTTTAAACCCAGTTCCCTCTCCAGCATCCCGCACTTATCTGTTCAGCTGGGGACAGCACAGTCATTTGCATTTTTTTTATTTCAGCCCTGTTTCATGACCCTTAAACCTCTGCTGACATAGCTGCAGCCATCCAAGACTCTGACAGAGCCTGAAGTAGTTAGTGGACGGTGTAGTAGGGGAACTTCTTCCTCTGATGTTCAGTTTTTTTTGGTATGTGAGACAGCTCTGCACTTGATGATTAAGAAATGGACAATATAGAGCAGAACCTAAGGAACATGTTAGTCTGAAGCTGAGGTTGGTGACAAGAGCACATTGTGATGTGTGATGATTCTACTGAATTCAAATCAATCTGTCAGCTTGCTGACCTCTTCAATAGACTTAAAAAAATAATGTTCTCAGGAGATTCATATTGTCTGTGTTAGACTTTATTCCAACTTGCATCAATAGTGTGTCATTTCTGCTGTGAGAATATGTTTCTATGCCCCTTTTTTGTCTTTCACTGGAGGTTAACAAGTCACCTAGGTCTTGTTGTGTTTCTGCGTGTGTGCCACTTTCATCTGTGTGTGTGTGTGGTTGTGTGTTAGAGAGACAGCTGTCAGCAGGGTTCCTGGAGTAGCACTTTTTTATTTCTGGCAGAGTGAGGGCCGCGGGGATTGAATGAGTGAATGAGGCAGCAAGTGCCTCAGTGAAACCCACTCCTGGGAGAAGGCAGGGGTTCCTGTACTCAATTTTCCCTTCACTTGGGATAAACAGGCAATTACCCATCCCTTTTTCCTATGCCATGGCCGTCCAGTGAACTTAAGCATACACTATTAGCGTGTGTCCCTGTAGGATCTGCGCTGTGGCGTGTAGAGGTGGTAAGTGAGTGGCGGATTGAAGAAATGGGTAAGGCGGTTGTTAAATGCCTGCGCTCTGACAGACAAAGAGAAAAACAGAGTGAGAGAAAGGAATTGAATTACCGGCGACCTTGACTAAGAATAAGCGTGCAAAGAAAATGATCAGATGAATTGAATTACACTTAAGCGAATGAGTCAAATTAAATTGTTCAAAGCACGCTCTTTCTTCTTTTTCTCCCGTCAGTGTCACAGTCTTGTCAGCAACCTTGGCGTCTGGCAGTGTAACGTAGTGACAAGTGAGTTATTAGACAGAAGAAGCAGGAATGGCGGGACGCCTCCAGGTAACAGAGAAACAGCACATTTTTAATGATCGTTTCTGTCATCCTTTCCTCCCTAGTCAGCCTCCCACCTCCGCAACCTTTCCATCAGACTCAGCTCTCTCTGTCTCGTGCTTTTTTATCTCTGAGAAGAGAGAACTAAAAACTGCATGTGTCATATGGGTGGAGTCTTAAAAAAGACATGAAATATTTCAATAGAATAGGTCATGTCTGTATTGCAAAATGGCCTAAGTATGAAATAAGTGGAACTGAGCACTGTTATGGATGTAAGGTGTTGTGAATACTGTACAGCACACCGCATAACACTGCATATTTTCCCACTGTGTGTAGCACCAGTCAAGTAAGAGTAGATCTCCTTGTACAGTAACACATGGCATTGCTAATACATTGAGAAATAAGTCAAACTGAGGAACGATCTCTACTTTTTTGTCTTTTTACAAAGAAAAATATAGCGGACAAAAAACATTTCTATGGAGATACATCACCCTCTAATAAATACCCCTTCCCTTGGCTACTTTGCCCAATTACTGGAAATAGTTGTACCGTAAGACACTCATGGACATGTTACAAATCGGTGCAACTAACAGCCAAAAAAACAAAACAAAACATGGCAACATTTTTATGCTCAGCAATGGAAACCAATGGCGCAATATCACAGCAAAATGTTTTAAGACTCAAGTGCATCATATTAATCAAACAGGGCATGATTTAAGTACAATGTCACACTGAAAGAGCTTCTTTTTTCTTTTTCTTTTCTTAGCAAACACTTATCTTTTGGTCACAGTTGAAGGACTATTTTCATTTTTCCTCTCCTCTTTTTTTTTTTTTTAAATCTGTGGGACTGTATGTTCCATTAGGATGCTTTTTGTAAGAACAAACACCAGCTCTTGCACTGACTAACATGCTTTCTTCTACAGAAAGCAAGCGTTAAACCCCACATTGCTTCTTTTAAGGAAAGAGAGACTTTATCAATATTTACTCCCTTGTGTTTATGAAACAGCAGTTCATAATGATCAAACCTGGTTTTGTTTTGAAGTCACTTTTGTCACCTTCTGAATAAATGGTTCAGCAATGAGGGCAGATCTCAGGTTTTGTTCAGGGAGGCGAGATGTTTTCTGTCATCAAACTGGGTTTGACATTGAAACGCGTGCAAAAAGAAACTGGCACAAGTTGTATGTTGAAGGTACTGTCACTTCCATTGGCACCGCAGCCATCGATGACCCCAAACAACACCTAAAACTCAGCATTGCAAAAAATCCTCATTATATTAATATTACACATCCCCTTGTATAGATGCAAAGTGCAAAAACTGAATTGGTATACTAAAGCTCATAAACATAACAGACAAAAAAAAAATCAATAGAAATACAGAGAATGATATCAGTGTAGGAGCCTAAAAAAGCATGCCGGCAACCTCTGAATATCTAACAAGTAGATAAAACAAGTCACGTGATATTCATTTTTTTCCTTAGGACTCAGTTTAAAATGTGTCTTTGAAGCTAACATAAATGAGTCAAGCTAGTAAGATGCTACCGCTTTCTTGCCTATAGCTGGAAGTATTTTACTGGACTGTAACATAAAATCCCAAAAAGGGAGAAAAAAAAGAAGCAAACAACCATCAACACAACTCTTTTACACCAAAAGCCTTTTGGGACATTATTTACAAATGAAGCTATCATGCTTTTGTAAGGGGTTCATTTAAAAGCTATCATTACACAAATACAACGAGAACATTTTAAGTTTTTTTTTCCAATACTATCATATCTGAAGGCAAAGTCACAAATAAGAGTTTGAATGGATCCTTTGGAGATGGAAATAAACACAAAGTGGGAGAAGTTAGAAAGGAAAGGATGGAGGGGGCTTATGAAAACACAACTCTCCATGCTCTAGAGTGTTATCCTGTTCTTCCAAAGAAGGAAAAGTCAAAGGACACAATAATAAACTGTATTTAGAGTCAATTAATTTTATACATGGAGATAGAAATGTCTCGCAATGACGTTCAAAGGACGGTCATACAGGCATTTAGCTTGTATTTGATGGTCTTGGGCTGGGGTTAAAAGCTAATTTGAGGAGGAATAAGGATGAGGAATGAAGGGAGTAGCGGGCATTCTGACAGGAGGGCAGAGTGACAAGTCATTTCTTTAGTCTATTATTGTAGAGAAGGGCATGTTTTTATGGAGGTTCGGGTTCTGAGAGTGTCGGTTGCGGCTGCGTACAGAGCTGAACACCATGTTGCAACCGGGGATTTTGCACTTGTGCATTTCGCGTAGGTGCACAGTCTTGTAGTGCACACGCAGGGTCCCTTTGTTGCTGTACATTTTGTGGCAGATGTTACAGAGGATCCCACTGCTGCTGCCATTACTGCCTCCAGAGGACGAAAGGAGGAATGGTGAGGAGGAAGGGTCCAACCCCTCACTTTGTCCATCTTTTAGTTCTCTCATCTCATCCCGATATGCCCTATCAGCCCGCCCGATGGCACGCTGGGAAAAGTCCTCTCCCTCGCTGTTGCCCTCATCCTCTTCTCCCTCTTCCTCCAGGTCATCCAATAGGATGCCTTCATCGCTGCCCTCATCTGACTCGTGTGAGGAGTGGATGCTGCTGCTCGATTGAACGCTGGATGTGGTGCTCAGGTCCAAAACCATGTAGTCGTCTGGCTGGCTCCGAGAGAAGCCGTTGGTGTGGTGGTTTCGAAAGTCTTGGTTGAGAGGATGGTGAGAATGATCATTACTCATGGGGGAATAGGGAATGTGGTTCAGCCCAGCAGGCCCGAGACTGGCACCTCCGAGGCCCATGCCGGCCATGGGGTCCAAGCCCATGTAGTGTCCAGCGTAGATCTTGGCCAGTAACTCAGCTCGCAGGTCCTTGGGCAGTGGCGTGAGTTGGGGGTCCAGGACAATGTCGTCCAGCTCTTTGGTCAGCAGTTTGCGGTGCAGGTTGATGTTGGAGCTGTGCCTAATGTGCAGGGGGACAATTAGAGATATAACTCAGAATGCTGCCAGTATATCAATAATGTAGATTACATCTCAAATAGAAATAGGAACACAGTTGAAATACACGCATTTGTATTTACAGTCATATATTTTAGATACAAGTTATTTTACTTCTGTGAAATGGTGCCAAGCTTAGAAGATTCAATATCTTTGGAAGCACTCTGTCTGTAATTATTGTTTCTGTCAGGAAAGGTACAAAAAAAGGCCCGCACACAGACAGAAATCCATCCGATAGCTCTCCACTGAAAAAGTGTACTAACATAGCAATGAGAGAGAGCATCCTGCTAGTGTTTACCACTGTCAGCATGTCTGCACTGCACAGCCCTCAAATCCAATAGAGTCTGACTCAATTAAATACTCCACCATATTGAATGGGAGTTTATCAATTGATTCGAGCTGTGGTAATGTGATAATCGAGGGGAACTGGATAGCATATTAGCACTAGGCCCTGACAGGATTATCGCATTCGTTCCCTATTGGAGGTGGCTTAATCGAGCACCTCAATGAACATGTCTTTATGTAGCCTTGGATTTAATTAAGATGGGCATTTTTTCCAAAAACAAGGTGCTACAGCTCATGAAGGAAACCAAGTAACAAGTGCCATGCTTAAGCCAGGATACAATTAGTGGGGATTTCAGTTAGCACACAAGGCCATGCTAGAGGATGCAAAGTGAAATGGGCTTGAAAATCAAATGTATTCCCTTTATTCTATTTATTCCCTTTAAGCTCGTATTTCACAGTTGCAAAGTGACACCATGAGAAAGGGGACCAACAGCACACACGTCACAATAAAACTGTGTAACACAGAAAAGAAATTTAAGGACCCAATTACCAGTGCCATAATATAGCATACACACGGCCTCTCTTCTCACATCAGGCCAACAATTAATTAAAATAAAAATATGCAATCACTCAGTGCCTTTAATGTGAAGGGTTTCCATGCAGGGAGGGCACATGTGTGTAAAACAACACAAAAATTGAAAAGAAAAGGAAAAAAAAAAGGTCGTCCTTAGCAGGACGGGCGAAAATGGAGTCACAATGGATAGTAGAGCTTACCAGCAGTGGCAGGGTTGATGCAGTCAAAAAGGGTCCCTTTCCTTTAATTATTTACTTCCCTATCCGACATTGTCCTGCAAGAGGTAAAAATACATTCATTTGAGGGACCCTTTTCTGTGAACCAAGCAACCAGGAGCCCGTCCACTCGAGCATCGTCAGCATTGTGGAGAGCGTGGCAAATCGATTGGCTGTGGCTCTCACTGTGTGTGTGTGTGTGTGTGTGTGTGTGTGAGACCGTGTGTGTCTTTGCACGTTCCTATCTCTGTTTGTGCGTGTGGAAAAACAGAAAATATATTCCGTTTTCCACATCCTGCAATCAAAAAGATTTTATACATCCCTTGTTCTTTTTTTTTTAATCCTTTGAATATGCAGTTGGCGTTTAACTAATGGCTAAAATACGGCCGTCGTGATTCAGTGTCTGCGTCTCTAAAACGCATGTGTGGATGTTTGTCTGTGAGAGACCACAGTGTTTCTGCGTACAGCAAAAAAATAAATAAAAAATGCTGTAATCAGTGATCAGTGTAATCGGGAAAAAGGCCACAGTTTGTGCAAGGGTGCTAACCAACACTGAGATGTGACGAGGGGCCACACAGATTTGCTCTGTTAAGCCTGAGGTTAAGAATGCTGTTGATGATGCTCAGGTAGGCAGGTCCTTTGCAACATGTCTCCATCTGTATTACAACACCTTCTCACTGCTAATAAGCTCTAAATTAACCATGGCTATCTAGTCATACATGCAGTAAGTAGACTGCAAAATTAGCTACACCAAATCTCTTTAAAGCTATAGCAGTTAAATGAAAAATATTGACAATTACCACTAGAATCTTATCCATTTTACTGAAATCCTCAAATAAATTAAACTGTTACTTTGGGTCATTTGTAACCATTTACAAAATTACAAGAACTGTAGAGGAGAAAAAGAGCCAAGTTCATCTTCATTATTATTTAACCCTTTTGTTTGCAGTGCCTCCTTGCCCTAAATACTCAACATAAGTCAGCTGAATCCACACACAGTGGACATAATGCCCTCATCCCTTCATTTATCAGATTTAGACTTTCTGCCCCATTTCCCACTCCCCTCCGTCCCTCCACCTCCATCACTCCTCTTCACTGTGCTCTATTTTTCCTCCCCCAAAACCAACTCCTCAGTTCCCTCCTTCCTCCATCTCCACCTCCCTGTTGGCCAGTAATGTGGCTTGCAAACCAATTTGACAGTCTCATCTTCGCCCAAAAGACGGGGGAGGCCTCCAGAGAGCCCATTTTTGACTGTGCAGAGGAGGCAGAGTGAGAGTGTGCCTGTCCCAATCGGCGTTAATCATCTTTAGGTTCATCTGATGGCCCTTGCCCTTGCTTTTGTGTCAGCGCTTATGTGTGTATATACACGTGTGTATGTTTGTCTAAATGACTCATAATGTGTAAATGAGATAGAAGGCTGAGTGGTATTAAACTGGCACCAGTGGTTCTTTGTCTTTCCTGTCATTTGGGGTGCATTATGAGGTTTTGGGTGTAAGTGGGAGGACAAGAGTTTTAGTAACATTTATCACTCTCTGTCACTGTTATAGCTCCAGCCTCTCGAACGGCGCAAGCTGCACACAATGATTTTGAGTACTCCTGAAGAAATGAGTGAGTGGAAATTAAATATGCATTTGATACCAGATAAAAACAACAATTTATTGTACATGTTCATGTTTCAGCTTGAAATCGCTTGCAGTTTTAGAACTCGTTCTGATGATGACAGTCAGCTTGCATGGGCGTCTCTGTGTTATTCATCTAAGAATAAAATAATTTCCCTTTATTCTCCTCAAAATGAATCACAATTAAGCTGTCAGTATAAACCAAGGGGATGTAATGCTTGAAGCTTTTTATTCAGCAGATAGTTTAATGTAAGTGGCTTTTGCTAACATATTCTCTCTATTAGCAGCATGCCCTTTGTTTATAAGGAGACAAACAGAGAGCTGATTGTGGAGCGGAGGAGCCAGGCCCACATGCTGTGAGGGGACCAAGGGAAAAGGAGGGAGACAGAGAGAGGAAGAAGAGGGGAGGAAAGAAACTCTCCAACATAATTAACCTTCACTCTCTCCATTTGCAGTGGCCCATGCAGGGACCATGTGCTGCGCATGGTTGCACCATGGGAATGCGAACGAGGGAGATCACCTGCTTGCTGCAGCGACAAAGAAGGAGCAGGTTAAAATGTTTCAGGTGAAGGTTTAAAATAAAACTAGCGTGGGCTGATTTTTATTTAAAAAAAGAAAAAAGAAAGGTACGGCAATCTTGTCACCAGATAAAAATGATGATTAAAAAGGCTAATAATGGTGATGATTACTGGTACCTGCCTTTCAAGCAGTTAATTATGCAGCTTCTTCAACACTTGTGCCGACGCTGCTCACTCCCCACAATAAATATGCAATCATTTACCCCCGTGCAGCAGGCAGCCAGGAGGCTGAGGGAAAACACCCCGCTTTAAAATCACTCTCGCACACGCATATGCACACACGCACTGCATATTGCTCTGTTTAACACTTAAAAACACACACATTACATGCTTGCTCAAGGGCACTTTAAATGATCCTGTTCAATATGTATGTACAGCATCCACAAGCAGGGATGTTTTCATGTGGATTTGTATGTCTCGCTGTTTATTCCACATTGCCTGAACACCAGTGATACGTTTTTATGTGGTGGTGCATTCGCATTGAATCCTGCTCTGAGTGTCATCGACTCTGCAGATCAAATGACCTCACCTCTGTTTTCTTCTTTACTTTGATGCACAAGCTTTTGATACTGGTGTCTGATGCTGTGTTTACGCGCATGTGGCTTTTCACTCGGTGAGTGGACTTATCAGAGATGCAGAGGACTTCCCTGTTGCTGTATCATGTCGTAATCTCTGCTGTAAAGCAATAAATAAATAACCACTGCTTATTTTTCGCAGTGGGTTAAGTATTGTTTTAGCAAGTCTAACGCGAGCCACCCGAAAGAGCTGCTTATTAATTGTTATTACCGATTGTGTCTGCATAAAAAAAATAAAAAAATCTAATTAGGAGAACGAATGTAGTTTGACTTATTAAATTTACTAGTAATAAATGTTTGAGATATTATTTTGAGCAAATACATTTGTACGTGCAGTTTCTTAACCTTATCAGAGCAAATGCTCTGATGAAAACAGCTAAATTATATTCCCGTTTTATTGCTACCATTAAACTCAAACATACATTATGTCATTAAAGGATTACCCAGGGACAGATCTGATGAGAGCACGGCTTGTGTATTGACTCGTCTCAAAGCTCAAGGATTTCTCGAGCTATGCGGTGCTCTTCTGTCTGTTGTTTTATTCCCTGTTTGAACCTGCGGCAAAGTAATTCGCCCCACATGCTATCAGGAAAAATATGGAAATAATAGTGTATTACACATCTACAGCTGTACTGTGCACCCTTGGCTTAGATGCACTATTTTTACTTAGTCCTTGCTGCAAATGATCTCTGTCGTATATATGTATGTGTTGGAATGACATTTACTGTATATGTTGGTGTCAAACTGTTTCACACACACATGCACACATTCATTCTGACACAGGAAGAGGGAAGAGTTCACATATAGATGCTATCTTTTCTTTGTGAAGTCATGTTTGAGCTTGTTATAGCACCAAATTCAACCCAGGCTTTTGTATCAAACTGTGTATTTGTGAAAAGACACCTTCCCCACACAAGCGTTCCTCCTGTTTTTTTCATTATTCTCCTCACTGTTGTCACCTCATTTACTTCACAGAAGTCTGTCATCTGCTGTCAAAACTATTATGTGGTTGTGTCAACAAATTCCAGTATGAAGGGATTCAATTACATAATTGACCAAAAAACAATGAAAAAAAAAACAAAAAAAAAATCTGGGCAATATCTGCAGATTATCAGTGGCACGGTTTCTTTTTTGCTTACTTCTATGACATCTGTTTAAAATCAGAGCACTTTCTTGTGTTAGATTCCACTAATAAAAGGTCTGTGAAGTTTTATTTCAGCTTTTGAAAGTTCAGATAAATTACTTGGTTGTTTTTGTCATACACTTTGCATCATTAAGTGGTTAAATACTTAGATGTAATATGTATCAGAGCAAATGCTTTTCTTTTTATCTATTTGTATATTCCCTTATGTGTGCAAGAGAGTGTGAACGTGTGAAAGTGCAAATGCTGCACAGCAGAACAGCCCTGCCTTGGGCAGGAGAAGGGAGCTAACGCACTCACTGGTGGCAGTGCACCACACCGAGGCAACGCATGTTACGATAACACGTTCTGTCATCTCGTTGCTGTCTGCACAGCTGCATCAGGTAAGCAGCAGGTTTGCACCTTTGCGGACGCTAAGTTGCCTCTTGTTCTCCTGCCTCTGTTCTCCTCTCACACCTATTCTAATAGAGTCCCAGGATCTCCTGCCTTATTTACATGCTGCTAATTAACAAAAAGTGCTCAGAACAGATGCCACAGAAACAGCTTAGGGTAGAAAAGGAGGGGAGAGTTTGGTGGAGCGACAGAGCGAGTGATGAAGGGATTGTGTGAGAGAGACAAAACTGTGAGGAAAAATATAAAAGTCCCTCTGGAAAGAATGAATTTTACAATTGCAGTCAGCTTTACTTGTTGCGGATACTGGATAATAACGTTTTTCATCACTATCTCCATTGCAGAACAGAACGAGTAACCCTGGTATATATAGCAGATGGGTTTTTATCAAAGATACAGTATATGAAAGCATGCAACTGGTTAAGACTGAAAATGCTGGAGTTTTTTTAGAGTTGGAATTATATTTTAAGGGTCATTTTATACTTTATTTTGAATTAGTGCATAACTTGCCCAAGTGAATATAGTTGATTAGTTCACTGGCCAATTTTCAGTCACCAGAAATATGAATTCATGGACCGCTGATATTTATGTATAATGAAAATGATTTCAACCTGTATATAAAAGCCACTCGTTAAATTTAAAATTGAAAAGTTGTGGCAAAAAAGATTTCTATGTCTTTTCCTGGGAGCCATTCCTTAACCAGGACACTAGTGACGTTATGTACCTCCACCTGTCAGTGTTTCTACTGCATACATGCACAGTTCATGTGTGCCACTGATATGTGCTAACAAGCCCATGTGAGTAAAGCTAGCCTCACCTTTTAATGCGCTAATAAATGCAGTGGTTTGACAAACCGCTGTCTGTTAATGTATGCACCTTCATCTCCCGGTGACAAGGTGAGGTAGTGAGGGCAGGTAAACAACACACTGAAGCTGGAAGCTTGATAGGTAGTGTGTGTTTAAATGTCTGTGTATGTGTTCCTGCTTTTCTAAACTTTGACTTGACACTGAGCAGATGTTCACGAATCCATTTTAGTTTCAAGTTAGCGAACAGATGTTAAGTGGAGGCCAACGAGGATAATGTCATATAGTACTGAAATACTGCATTTCACTCTTATGTTAACACGAAATGAAAATAAATATCTCTCACAACAACTGAACTACATTTTAAAACAATGTCTTTTTAATTAATACGGTTTGATCCTTATAAAACAAAACCTTAGACCTACTGTAGGTAATTATTAGATGATAAGAATCCAACCTACCTGTGATTGCCAATGTTAAAAAATATATAGTAACTTTTCAAAGTTGTGCCACTAACCTGTCTCTGCTCCGCCGGGAAGGGAAAGCAGCATTGCAGCCAGCCACAGTGCACACATGCATCTCTTTGAGGTGCACGTTCTTGTAGTGCAGTTTCATGCTATAGGAGCTCTTGAAGCTCTTCTTACAGACATAGCAGATCTTGGGGTCAGGACTTGAACATGGATCTTCCTCTGGTGATCGAGAAGAAAGGAATTTGGGTGGGCTGGAACCATAGCCCATCGAAGTGATGAAGCTCTCGTGAAGCGCAGCCATGCTTGCAGCAGTGGCAGCAGCCGCTGCCATGCCCCCATTATAGAAGCCATACTGGCCCATGCAGAACATGTCATAAGTTGGATCGTTGAGTTCTTCTTTGATCTTGATGGGAGGGTGATGAGGGGAGGGTGAGGAGTTGCCCTTTCCTTCCATTTCCTTTCTCAAATGAGCTTCCTCGCTACCCTCATCATCTTGTTCCTTTTCCAGTCTCCTTCCAACCCTGCTGTGCTTTTGCTGATCCTCCACATCCATCAGCTCATCACGGTAAAACATCTTTGAATCCGAGTTTTCAGACTCATTCTCAAAGTCTCTCTCGTGGTCCTGATCCTCAGAGGTAAAGCTGTCCATGCAGCGTAGATCAGCAGCTCCACCTCTGCTGTCACTACCATTTCCTTCGTGGCATTCATCTTCGCTTTGTCTCATCATTCCTCTCAGAGCTAAACCAGGGCTCATCTCATCCTGGGAAGGGGATTGCTGCCCGCTTCCACCACTGTGGTTCCCATTTCCACTAGCGCTGTTGTTGTTGCTATTACAATTTCCGTTAATTTTGACATTGTTGTGAAGAAGAGATGACTGGTGATGGTGGTGATTATGGTGCATGTTATCGTCGTCATCATCGTCTTTGTCGTCATATTCATCAGCCACATCGATGACTTCTTTCTCAATCTTTACTGGCATGCTTGATTTACGAGGTTTCTTTTTGGGCGTGGGGTCACTGCTGCCATTGGTGAGGTCGTGATTGGCACTAGGTGTTGGTAAACGGTGGGACATGGGTCCTGCATCTGACACATGAACATTATTATGAGAGGCCACAGCTGCAGCAGCCAGGATCTGCTGTTGCTGGTCCATCAGAGTAGTGCTGTTGGTAGTGGTGGGCATGATGGGGCTGGTGGGCAGTGACACTGGAGGACTAACAAGGTCTGCAGGGGACAGTAGTGTTCGGTAGAATGGGGGCACTGGTTGAACTGGCTGCACTGATTTCAAGGAGGGGAACACCAGTGGACTTTGCAGAGGCGACTGAAGCATAGGGTCTACAGGTGGAGTGGTGAAGCCCAGTGGTGGCCTTCCAGGGCTAGTGAGTGTGAAACCACCGTTCTTGGTGCTCGAGATGACAGGTGTGCCAGTGGTAGAATTGGCACGGATGAGGTCCTTGTCACGGTTATTGCGCAGCATGGGCATGTGCAACCGTGGATTGGGATTTGCACTGTGACGATTGCGGCTGCGTAGTGAGCTGAACACCATATTGCAGCCCTCGATGGTGCAACGGTGTTTAATCTTCAAGTGTACAGCATTATAATGTATCTTAAGTGTGCCTTTATCATAAAAGGTTTTTCCACAAGAGTTGCAGACAACGCGACCCTTGCGTGAGGTGGCTCCCATGCGGCGCATGCGATGCATCTTGGAGGAAAAGGAAGGATGGGTGATTGTTTTTGACTGCTCGTCCTTTATGAAATGGTGGTGGACCGGGTGGTCACTCAAGCTGTTAGGTTGCTGAGGTTGATTTTGGGACTGCTGTTGGCCCTGTGGCTGTTGCTGCTGAAGCTGTGTCTGCTGTTGCTGCTGTTGAGCCTGCTGGGTAGAAGGGGTTGGTGAGATGGGAGATGCCCGGTTGTTGGGCTCTGTCTTGGGTTCGGCGTTGTTGTTAATGGCTCCCAGCGCTCCACGACTAGGACTTGGACCTGTGCGGAATGGTGATAGGGACACTTCTGACTCGCTGGTTTCCACTTGTTCTCCTTGGTTTGGCAGGCTGGGCTCCCGGAGCCGCAGACCAGATTGCTCCATTGGGAGGCCATTGGGGGGCAAGCCAAGCATGGGGGCAGAGACTGGGTTGATGTACTGGAAGGGCAACAGGAAGGCTAAGCTGTTGGGGATATTTTCAAAATGGTGGATGCTGGATGGGCTACTATTTTCCAGATGTGTAAGGAGCCCCGGGCTACGGGTCCTGTTGTTACTTTCAATGAATGTCCTTATCCCGGAGTCTGTCTTGGAAGAAGGAACTGTAACTGCCTGACCTTCCTTCTCCTGAATGGCCATCAGCTCCACAATGGACTTGGTCTCACCAAAGCGCAGGAACTGCTGGAGGGTGATGATCTCTTCTTCTCTGGACATGATGGTCCAGCGGTCCAGCACCTTGCCTGCAGCATCCTAGATGCCCCAGAAGAGACAAGAGAGAAGACAAAAATACTTTATTGATCGTGAATAATCAGTGTGGTCAAAGGAGAAGACAGAGCAAGGGTTAGTTTGTGAGAGCGAGCATTTCTGCTCATGAAATTCAGAGGCCCCTGGAGCGACAAGTAACTAACAGAGCTTTGTTGAAAATCTCCCTCCTCCACTGTCCCTCTTTTCCATATACTCTTCACATATTCATTTTTAAGAAGAAATCTTTCCTGAAAATCTGCCCATTAATCACACCGTGATGAGAGTAAGCAAGTTCAATAACGTTTTAAGCAAACAAATCAAAAGCACTGAGGTGGGTCTTTTTAGCAAGTCTCTGTGACTCAAAGCATTGGAGGCATATTAATCTGAGAGAAAGAACTGAACTCTTGCAGGGACTCCCTCTGTACACAAACTACACCTAGGGATGTTTACAAAACTGTGGGAGCCAGAAAGAAAAAAAAAGAAAAGAAGAAATAATAGAATAATTAATGCAACTCACTACCATGCTGTAGTTCACATGCAATTTTCTTAGTGCTTTCTCTATCTCCAAGGCAATGAAATGCTTGAGGGAAGACACTATGCATTTAAGGAATGGGTTTGGATGCTCAAATAAAAGAGGTAAAAACTCGTGTTTCTTCAAGGTGCTTGATGATGCCTTGATAGCGGCATTGAGATCGTGTTCCTATCATTGGGCAGTGTAGTTATTTATCATGTGTTTATACCAGTCGTTTTAAATGTTGTGCAACCTACGGAACTATAAATGGAAATCTGATCAATATTTCAATGAGATTGGAGGAATACACAGCTTCTTTTACTTAAAATACTGAAGGTGAAATCCTGTGTAATAAATATCCATGTTGTTGTCAGTCTTCAACCAATTATTCATTTGACAATATCTCCCAATGAAAATAGCAAAAGTGTAAAATAACAATATTTAACAATAGATAAATTATTACATCCCATGTCATTTCCAGTTCTTGTGTTTTTAGAGGTCTGGGAATGATGAGAAACATGTTTCCATCCTAGGATACCAGAACCGCTCCAGTGGGAAATGGGCTTTATTCCAACTAGAGCACTTTGCTTGGCTAGTGTCTTTTGGAGATGTGCTATTAATGGCTGAACATTAATAAGAAACTCAGACTCGTTGCAAGTGTGCACACTGTCACATGTCAAAAGACGGTGAAGGACTTTGGAAGAAGAATCTTGTCAAATCTTGAAAATGAAAGTACGACCCTGTACTTTTGTCCTCTTCTGTGAACCTTTATGTCTTTCTGGTTTGAAGCACTAATGGCAGCGTTCGTCACTTATGCCTCCTCTGCTGTTGTTCTAAAATGTGATATTTGTGTGAACAAGATGGAAATAGTCAGGTTGAAAGAAAGAGAACGTGTAAATACTGCAGTTCACACACTGGTTCCTGAGGGACCAGGCGCAAGTGACATCAAGGGAGCAACACAAGTGATGACAATTAGTCACACTGAAATGGTAACATTTCTTTAGAGCTCCTAGCTGCTGGCATCTATAAAAGATAAATGGCAACTCTAGTGAGTAAAAAGCTGTAAAAACCAACATCACAAAGCACAAAGGGCCTGTAAGGAGAAAACAGAAGATAAATGTTTAAAGAGAGACAGCTAAAGAGAGAGAGAGAGCACGGGAGAGACACAGAGGAAGAAGAGCAGAAGCGCAGAGAAAATAAAAGTGTGAGTGGTTTCATATCATGCCCTCAGATATACTGTAGAAATAGATTCTTCTGAGACGAAACATCAATAGTCACTGGGGTATTTGTTGTTAAATATACATTAAAAAACACTTTACACTTTCATTCTGTGTGCGCTCTGGAGTTTTAGCCTGGAGGTATGACTTTAAATTCTAGCCTGGACACTATTATTTCGTACTGCATGGCCATCTGGGCATTAGTACTTCCATCTGATTTAATTGAAACAAAAAATGAAAGCAAATTAGAAAGTGAATCTTTAAATAGTTACACAACCAGGATGTTTCTTAAGTAATTGTAGTTCTAAGAAGTGCTGTGGTGTATTCATATTTCCTAGTGGCAAAAACTATATATGTTAATCTTTGTTATATGTTGAAACACATCAAGGTAACCTACAGTTACACCTCTGATTGCAGGCAGGAAATATTTTAAATGCCGTTTTAATGTTGCATTAGTTTGAATGTTGCCTGTTTTGTGAGCAGTAAACAGCAAAAGAATATTTGCATTTTATGGATTACAGCCAGGCAATGTTTAATTAAATTAAATGAAAATGAAAATATCAGTTTCCTATTTTCTCCACTTTGATGTTCAATTCATGATTAAAATAAGATTCATGAGAATGATAAGTTAATAACAAGGAGGTATTTCTAATGGAAGTCTGATTAATAAATGCCAGGAAACAGTCTGAAGCTGTTAGCAATATCATTAAATAAAGCTGCTAAAATTTACAGGTTCATAAGCCTCAGTGGGTTACGATTTTCTGACCATCTCAATCATTGATTGAGTAAAACAGAACTTAGACATGGATTTAAGTCTCTGCTAGTCCAACCATGTGCATTCACTTCCCCACAAACAAAAGCCAAACACAATGACACAGGCCAAACTGCAACCCATTAGGGCCAGCCAGCTGTCAGAACAGGTCAGCAGTTCTGCTATGCACTGGACCCTGTCTGAGTGGAGGCTATCCAGGCCTTCCTCGTTCACTGGTCAATTGACTTTTGGAGGCCAGTCAACATGCGTTTGGGCTGGGTCAGCCTTGGTGCAGCGTCAACACAAATCCACAACTGGGATAAATCTGATGAGAAAAAGATGCACGAGGACACACTTGACTGAAGTTCACTTCATGTACGTGCAGCTATGTATCTTTAAGCCAAAAAAAAAAAACATTCAACAAAAGTTTTGTGTGTGTGTGTTTTAAAAAGCCACTGCAGATTGTAACTGATGAAAAAACATATTTTGCAAATATCACAGCAAAAAAAAATCCATTTGAACCAAAAATTTAACAATGACAATCAATGATTTTAATAAAAACAGATTTCCTATATTAAAACGAGCATCTAATGTGTGTGGACGCACGTTTGCAGACAACCACAGTCCCCTGTATTCCTCACTGCCGTAAGTGTCACAACTCCACTCCCCTGCATTAGCCCTCTGATGCTGTGAGAGAAACAAATATGCCATTAGAAGCACTTTTACAAGTAGGCACTCATCTTCCAATTAGCTTAATGTGGCCCTCTTCCCCCTATATTTTCCAGTCGTGCCCCACCTCTTCTTGTACACTCCCTCCAGTAAAATCTCATTAATCCACCCCTCCCCCATCTCCCCTAGTGCTATGACATATTAGTCTGTCATTATCCATCCCAGAGTCCTTTAAACAATGCAGCTAAACCTCTGTTTGCCAGGTTAATGACTATTAGCCAATAATTACAGCAGAGAGACGATGGGGTACCCACTTTATCTGGTGGACAGCTTCTGCTGTTAGTTTATTTTATCTGCCTCCCTCCACGTCTCTCAGAATTAATCTGGCAACTGCTGTATTTATTCATCTCTGCACTGCCGCAACGCATTCTTAATTCACCGCCGCCTCTATTACCGTGGTGGTGCTGGATGTTGTGTAGTGGGTGTGTAGTTGGGCATCTACCTTGCAGATTGCTGACAATGAGGATGAGCAAATGATGGCCTTGTCATGGGCCAGTACCAGTGTCAGTTAAAACAAATCAGGCAATTATGCAATTAGAAGTTTATGTGCTGGGCTGTATTAAAAGCTGGGGTGAGCAGCATTGTTATAGTGGATGGTGTGCATTAGGGATTAACAGCTTAACATGTATATGCTTTTCACTAATCATCACCTATCATACTCACTGACCGAGTCTCTTCAGAAAGCAGTAGAGCGAGAGAGAAAGAGAGAGAGCCAGGCTTTGGGGGAAAAGGGGGAATGTTACAAATACACAGTGTTACACTTATACTTTTGTATACAGTAGAGACGGAGAAGGGATTCAGGTCGACTGCTTGATTGGTTTACTGACATATTATTACTGCTGATGTTCTGCAGTGTTACTGTAATGAGGAAAAAAAATTCATTCTTTTTGACAGTCAGAAGAAAATACCCTTTTTGTACTATCTGTGAAGAAGGTGTAGATAAAACTCCAAGCATTTTTTCAGTTTTGGGAAACTTAATGGAGACAGCTAGATCTAACACACTTGATGTTTAGCCGACATTTAATGACTGTTTAGTGTAATCGCTACCTTAATTTGGCTGAAAAGGGATTGTATAATTTGTTAACAGCGTGCAGATCACGGTGCAAAAAATATCCTGTTTGGGAATTATTGAATTTATTGCTCTAGAGATGAGGCTGGATTCATAATATTACTAGTTCTTGGGCAGAGTGGATACACAGTGTAGTGGTTTACGCATTTCCCAAGCAAGCAAAAGCTCCCTGGTTTGATCCCGGGAGGAGACATAAATCCATTTACTGCTGCATCAGGAAAGGTGCAAATCAGCAGCGACCCATTGTGGCGATCCCTACTGAGTAAAGGAGCTGCAGAAAGTAAGCTACTAGTTTTTGGGCAGGGATCACCACTTAATATCACATAAAGAGGGGCAGGAGCTCATTGGTCAACTCGACAGACCGTTATTCTGATCTAAAAAGGTTAAAATGATTTCATGTGCTGCAAATAATTGGTAATTATATTTAGTATCCATAGGCTAATAAAGCAAGTAGAATATAATGGAGTTAATCTAGAGATAATGTGATGGTTTTTCTGTCCCTGTTTGCAACTGATTCATCAAAGATCAGATAATTGGGTTAACTAAAGCACTATAGTGTGTACTAACTTAAATGGGAGGATGCCTACCCTCGTATAGCCCACTCTTTAATGTAGAGTCTGTGCATAAAGATGGCTACACTCGTTCACAAAAATATCTGTACTGATCATAAGAGCATTTGCTTATATTAGTCAGGATCAATTTTCACAATGGCAAACCAAACCATGGGAA